CGTAGATGGGTCCCGTCGATGAGGATGAATGTTTAGGGTTACTGAAGTACAGACTGAGACCCACCTATTACTGCTCCTTTCTGTTGCTAACCTTTCCGCAGCCAGGATTAAATCAGCAAAGGCCAGGAAAGGGGTGGGATGGACAGGTGATGGCTGGTACGTCTGTAAGGTCAGTTTGCTTTGTTACTAATCAGGTCACATCAAGGGCGTTGTGGGTTAAGATGCACTCCCGGAGTGTGTAATTGGGCAGCAGTGGTTGCTGGGCCTTCCCCAGGGCTAAAGGGTAGCGCCATGCCCTGATAGCTAGGGTTGAGCCAAGTGGGGACCCAGAGCCCCCTGCACAGGCTGCTGCCCTCACTACCTGGCAGCCTCAGGCCTGGGTCCCTGTCCTGGCGTCCACCCATCACAGTGGTGCTGTGTCCCCTGCTAGAGCAGGTAGATCCCACCTTATCCCAAATCAAACTGCAAACCTCTCAAGTCGCTTCTAATAACTGGGAGCTGACTAGTTTGGTTACGACAGTTGCATCAAGTCATCTGTGACCCAATCCCACACGTTTCTCCAGGTAGTTTGGCTTAAATACACTTGGGAAAACCTTGGAGAAAGCACTAGTAAGAGCTTTTAAATCAGTTACTTGCCTTCTATCAGTTCCCTGCCTACGACAGACTTTAGCAAGACCGTTTGAAAGAGCCCAGAGCTGAACTAAGATAAGAGGCGAGGTGCTGCAGCCTCCTCCCTACGTTCTAGTGAGAACACTCGGATTCTACGGAAGGAGTTGCCTCATCGAAGGAAACTTGTCTGCAGTGTGGGAGGAGGAAGAAAAGTCAAGGCCTGTCACAAAGGACCGGGAGGACGATGGTTCTGCATTTTGAAGAAAGGATGGGAATATTTCTGGTTGTCAGTGGCCAAGTTCAGGTGCTGGCTCAGGCTGGGTGGTGCTGGGAAGTGTGGTGTGAGCAATAGCAGGTGAGACACCAGCTGGGGGTGGCCAGCTTCCTCCTGCTAACAATTCACCTAAGATGCAGATGGACGCAGGAGGGTCTATGCATGGAGCCGGGTGCTGCTTTGCCGACAGACTCCCATTCTCTTTTTTGTGCTAACACCCCCACGAATTCATGGGCAGGTTCCAACCCATCCTCAGGGCTACAGTGGACACATCATGAGGAAAGAAGTGACCTTATGGGACCCACTATGTGGGAGATACAGGGCAGCAGGGCCAGCCTAGCTTGAGGATCTGGTTCTGGGGTCACTGGAGCCACAACACATATTCACAAGACAGTCGGAGTTTTACCAAAGCGATGTGCTGGCCCGAAAGAATTGTTAATAAGATAACATGGCCAACTGCAAGACGGAGTTAATTTGAATTACACAGGCAAGTAAGACCTGCCCAGCAAAGTCTGAAAAAGGCTTGCAGACGGATTTCAGCCTGGTTCCTCATGGTCAGATTTCACAGAGCAGGTTTCTCAACACCACGTCCTTCATGTTGATTTCTGCCCCAGAAATCAGGCAACGGTCTTGCTGTTCTTTAAGCAGCAGCTAGGAAAGGCTTGTTATGTGCTCATCGACAAGCCCTGGGAGGGGGGTTGGTAGAGAAGCACAGCCATGTTAGGCTCAACCCAGGGAGGTTTTCACAGCGCGGATCTCTTTGGGAACCCATGGCTCTCTGGGATCCAGTCCTCTAGTGCACACCAAACTTTTCTGTCCCTTGAAGGCATTCTCAAGCTAGGCTTCAAGGGTACATCTTGGTCTTCACAGTTCAGAAAACCAAGGTCTTCCCTTTCTTCCCACTCCAGGGTTTGAAGCTAGCGATGACCTCTAGATCCTCTTCCTGCTCAACATCCCAGCAAGGCCCAAAGGACCCCAGTTCTGCCTTCCTCACCCTTCTACCCCTCCTTCCTAGAATAGCACCTGGGGACAGCATAAGCTCTCACAGGTGTTGATTGCATGACCATGTCTATGAATGAATGAAGAGCTTTACTTTCATGATTATTCAGACCCTCTAGTGTGGAATCAGTGAGCTCTCCAAATGCAAACCGGTAACCTTCCCACGTGGGTCTGCCTCTGGCCTTGTATCAGAATTATCTTTTAAAAACAATCTTCCTTCCCATTATTGGTTTTCTGTGTTGTGTAGATAAGATACAATTTACTAGTGATAAAGTTTGCCAGATTCATAGGCCAAGAATAACTTCAGAGGTATTTGGGAGGTGGTTAGAGATGAAACAACAGATTTTGGAGGAGAATTATCAGTACCCCAACTGATTAGAAAGCAGGGACCCAGGGGCCAGCAGGTGGCATGGTGGTTAAGGTGCTGGACTCCCGCATAGCTGGATGCAGTTCAAGTCCCAGACTTGACAGTTTGCTTTCTCACTTTCCTCTCTCTCTCTCCCTCTTTCTCTCTCATCAAATTTAAAAACAATAAAAATAACAATAAATAAAATTAATCCTTTAAAAAAGAAAGAAAGCAGGGACCCAGAGAAGGGAGGGCCAGTCTCTGGACCAAAGACACAAGTCAGATAAGTATTGGTGGAATGAAAGCACAGGATTAGTGGAACCAGAGAACAGTGCACCAGTCAGAGGGGACAGGCCCAGTGACTCAGCACGGTGGGGAGAATCTGAGGACGTGACATGGGACAAGGAGGGGAGTAGATGGACTGGCAGCTTGGACTCTGGGAAGAGTGTGTGCGTTCTATTCCAGTCACCATGAATCAGCGTGTTTGACTCTGGAGGGACTCTTGTAAGGACATGTGATACACCCGCATGGTATAGACAAAGTCAAGGAACTGTGTCAAGACCAGCAGTTGCTGCTGGTGGGACAGCCAGGACTAGAACTTACATCTACAGACGTTTATCCGATGTCCTTCTATAGGTCACCTACGGTGGTGGTGTCATCTTAGTCCAGACACATCATTTTGGCAATAACAACTTCATGGTGGCCTAAGGGAGAACAGAACAGAAAGGTTGGCCTTTTCTAAGCTGAGCACAGCCAGTGTAAACGCTGTTGGCTCCCGGAACCACCTGGGGGGTAGGTGATATTCCTACCAATGAGAAGGCAGATGGAATGTAAGGGGAGAGAATCGGGCCCTCACTAATTAGAGGGAGGAGGGAAAGA